ATGCATGTAAAACATTTAGCTTCAGTGTATTTGCAATTTTAGTCTCTGGTCAGGCTTGAGAATGTATTAATTTATATTTATTGAATACAATAAAAACTAATTAATACAATTAATAAATAGCATCAATCAATACATTTTAGACACTTGTATATGTCTGAGTGCCTCAGCAATCTAAGTGTACCGGGTTAGTGTATATGCTGTGTCCATGCAGAACTTGTGTTTACATTTATTTGGTTTGTCTTTGTCCACAGACATCAGTAGATGTAAAGAGGACCCGCCAATGCAGCCAGAGCTAAAACAGTTTCCCAGGACCCTGATGGGGGACAGGAGAAGGATCTTCAAGGCAGGCTGGTACCATATCCACCCCTGGCTTGAATATTCTCAACAGATGGACTCGGCGTATTGTTACGCTTGCAGATATTTTAGCCCTCCTAATACTGTTTTTTTCTCATCACTGTAATGTTATGACTACAATGCTTTGAAAGTTTGATGAAATAAAAAGTCAAATAATATTTCGAATCTGTCTTTTTAGCCCTGGGTTGAATGTGCCCCTCCATCAAAACCCCCGGCCCCAGCCCGGCCCCCTCAGTGAAACTGATCTAGAACCGCCACTGGGGTGAAGCTGCAGCCTATCCCAGAAGACTTTGTGCAAACACCCTAGGCTGGTTGCCAGTCAAACGCAGGGCACATACAGACAAACAACCATTTACATCGATGGACAGTTGAGACTTCAACTAACCTTACACGTTCTTCTCTGCATTGTTACTCTTCTGCCAACATGGCTGCGTAAACACGCACACGCCCGGGTCGGTAAAGTGACATCCGGGGCTCAATTAAATTCAACTCAACACTCCCACCTGCTGGCTGGGGCGACGTACATACCAGACTCCAACGTGTACTTTAAGTCGTTTTTCTGGCGGATAAAGACGCAATGACACACACATTCATTAGATAAATTTAGAGAGACTGTTGAACCACAGCATATGCAATAGATGTGTGATGAAACGTTAATTATTGGCGATGTAATGAGGAATCACCTGTGTAAAGTCACGGGCCGTTGTGCGAGCTTGCTTTGAAACAGGAAAGGAGCGACGACACACCTGGCTCTCGCAGGTGCTCTTCCCGTGTATTTGAACAGGAAATTTGCAAATTCTGCAATTTTAATGATGAAATCATTGAAATTATTGAATTGAAAAGAAAAATGTATGAAAAGCACGGACCATAGAACAAAAATGTAACATATGTTTTTTCTATTCTCGTGCAGAGAAAGGAAAGAACACCAAGAGCGCTGAATCCCTTGCATGCCCCGACCACACGCCTGTGTACAAATTAAAGTACAGTAGAGTGCGTTCAATAATTCAACTTCGTTTCCTGATGTCCGGCATCTGTCAACAGACTAAAGTTGGATTCGAATTTGTTTATTCTGTTCATAAATGAATTAGTATAAAGAATTGTAAACGCGTGGTGTAATAAAAATGAACAACAATTACTTACTACGTGCTAATATCAAATAAGAACAAATAAAACAATTTAAAAATCGGCACGCCGTTGTTTCCTGATTTTTGAACAGGCGATGCTCAGCCACCTGGCTTCGGCTTTGTGAGGACCCGTCAGAAATCCAACATGGCGGCAGCCATACGTGTGTGTTGTGCCCTCCGCATCGTTGCTGGAGGTGAAGTATTTGTCATTTATGTACTTTTGTGGGTTACTTAAAGGCCCCTTTATGATGTTTGTGATTCAAAATGTGACGTCTGCTATTAAATCGGGAGAGATCCTGCATAATCTATCAATTAGGACTGCCGATTTGACCGTATGGTTTTACCAATTATTCAGACGTCTGTCCTCATTTATGCTCATGCCATTGTAGTGCATATAATGTAGTGGAGACGAAATCCAAAGCGTACACTTGCACTAACGCTGACTGTATTTGTCTAATCAAAGCTGCGTGTCTCCTCAGGTGCAGCTCCTCTCCGCGCGGTATCGGGCGACCTCCATGGATCCCAGCTACTCAGTCGAACGACCCCCGCACTTTCTCTTGTGCCTGCTGCGTGTTGGCAACAAAGCAGACATGGCAGCTTCTTCAACAAGCGTAAGGATAAATGTGATCATCAGCACATAAAGCATTACCTGTGGTTCCCATTTAAAATGCTTTGCTAACCAAAAACGGGAGCACAAACGGAGGAAATTATCTTCCATGAAGGTGTCGTCTTGCCGTGTTAAAAGTGATCTTGCATTACGTGTTGTATAAAGTTCTCCTGGGCCCAATAGACACCTGCTGCATCTGCATTTGAGTAAATGCTAAAGGATGTTGTTGTTTGCATGTATGCGCATACCCAGTGACGGCCGAAGACCTTTGGAAAGGCGTGTTGGCCGAGTCGGGGGCCGGTGCCAGGAAGGGCAGAGGGAAGCGAACCAAACGCAAGCTGAGGCGGGATCTTAACCGAGGCCAGACCATCGGAGAAGGTGAGGAAGACTTTGGACCTCTCAAGTGATCAAGAGTGAACCTTTTAGAGACCATTTTGTCCCTGACTTGTTTGACTGCATAGGTCAAGGAGGCTTCCTGTGGCCCGGTTTGAATGTGCCCGTGTTAAAAGACGGCACCGTGCAGAGTATGAGCCGCAGAGGCCAGGCTGAGCAGCAGGAAGTGCAGGCTGAACTAGGTACATGCGCACGCGCACACACACACACACACACACACACACACACACACACACACACACACACACACACACACA